CGACATCAATGCTATCCAAGGGTACGCCCCCCGGGTCCAAAACGATCCTTACTCGAACACCTACAATCCTGGGTGACGAAACCACCCTAACTTTTTATGGAGGGACCCGAAAGCTACCTATCCACCCCAACCAGCACCGCAACAAACCTACTCCCAACCTCAACAATATGCACAACCGAATAATCGACTACCATTCCAACCGAGGCCCGAGTTCCAAGGACATCCACAAGGGCAGGGAGGTTTCATCCCAAGGCAACCATTGCCACCTCCATCGGAGCCCGAGAGAAATGCTAATGGAGAATCATCGGATACCCGGATCGAAAGCTTAGAGAAGTGCCTTCAATCATTAGCCTCCACCGTCTCTACATTGCATGACACCGTAAAAGGAGTGCCCTCGATTCAAGCCTCTCTCAAATTCCTTGAGACTCAAATGGTGCAACTCGGGACTTCTATTGGCGAGATCCAAAGGAGCAAGATGAAGGACAAGCTCCCGAGCCAACCCGAGCACGTCAATGCCATCACAGTTTCGAGGAATGATAAGAAGGTTGATAACGTGTTGAGATGCCTGAAGAAAATGAGGTAGTTGAAGTTGTTGTTGATGAGGATGATGATGAGCCGGGTGAGAAGGTTGATGTGTCTAAGGGGAAAGATGTGGTTATTAAAAAGATCGAGAAGGAGAACCCCAAGAAGGTTACCCGTGAGGCGTTGCACAAAGCGGATGCACCCTACCGACCACCGGTTCCTTTCCCGAGCCGTTTGCAAGATACAAAGAAGGAGCGTCAATTCAAAGATCTTTTCGACATGCTCTCGAAGGTAAACGTCAACCTCCCTCTCTTGGAGGTTATTCGAAATGTCCCAGCATATGTGCAATTTTTCAAAGATTTGGCCTCCAAGAAGAGGAGGTTCAGGGATAATGAGAAGATGATGATTTTCGAGGTAGCCTCGACTACTATACCTCGGAAGGAGTGTGACCCGAGAGCCTTCGTCATGAAGATCACATTCGGGAATGGAAAGATTACAACCGGTATGCTTGACTTGGGATCCAGTATTAACCTCATGCCTTATTCTATCTACAAACAATTGGACTTGCAAGGGCTTAAGCCCACTCGGATGAGCCTCCAATTGGCGGATCGCACCTTGAGGGAGCCAAAGGGCATAATGGAAGATGTGATGGTCAAAGTTGGTTCGATTGTTGTGCCGGTTGATTTCGTAGTCCTTCATGTTGGAGATATCCCGAACACCGGGAAGGAGCACACTATCTTGCTTGGGCGACCTTTCATGGCCACAATCAACACCATTATTGATGTCAAGAATGGTCGAGTCACTCTTTCGGCTCATGGAGAGACGACTACTTTCACGATGAACAATGCCCGGGAAGCTCCACCCAAAGTTGGCCAATGCTCGTTTATGGAGGGCGTCGACAAAGAGTTACATTCCGACTTTCATTCTAA